TTAAAGTTGAAGGGGACAAACTTAAACTTGATAGACTGACAGATCTTCCCATCAATGTCAAACACCAGATTCAGGAGCACTTGTCTATTGAGGATGCTGCAAAAATGAGTGTTTTGTCTAGACCGTGGAGACATGTTTGGGCTTCAATCCCCAAGCTTGTATTTTCTGCTCAGTTTTGCCGGAGCAAGCCACCAGACACATTAGTAGATGTCATTAATACAATTCTGTCGCAGCACGTTGGAGCCATTAAGACATTCCTCCTCAATATTTCATCAATACCTTCTTCTCAGCACCCTGTTATAGATCAATGGATGCTATTGTTGTCAAGAAATGGTGTCGTGGATCTTACCCTTCAGAATCTATACAATGCTCCTTATAAATTGCCTTCCTACATGTACAGTGTAGCACTGGAAAGTTTGAAACTGTCCAACTGCATTTTCAGGCCGCCATGCAGCTTTAGGGGTTTCTGCAAGCTCAAAAAGCTTTCACTACTTGAAGTCGCCTTAGAATTTGACGTTTCAACTTCTTGCTTGTGGATGCCAAACCTTTTCAGTCTGAAGGTTAGGGTGTGCGGTGGTCTTCCAAAAATATATGCTCCAGAGCTTTTGCATATATTTTTCTTTACCAGGAGCACCAAAACCCTTATGTTGGATCATTTCATGGACTGTCGGAAGCTGAAAACAGTTATACTTGCAAAATCAGAAAAAAATCAAGATAAACCGATGAACTTGACTTATCTTCTCAACTGCTGGCCTATGATAAAGCGTCTTTCTTTGGACGGTTACTACCTCAAGTCTTTGGCTTATGGTATTGAAGAAGAGAGGCTACCCACATGCCTCAATAGGTTGAAGGCACTTTCTTTATTTAACTTCAATTTTAATGATGAAGATCAATTATTTTCTCTTCTAAGATTGTTTGGAAGTTCTCCCAATTTGGAGGACCTTCTAATTTTGTTGACCTGGAAGAAGAAAGGAGGCATGGAAGTCGAAGTAAATCATTTTGAACGACCAGCCTACAGGACACTAGGACTCAACAAGCTTCAAAAATTTAAAATAGAAAACTTCCATGGTTCAAGAACCAAAATGCTCTTTGTAAGGTTTATACTTGCATCTGCACCTTTACTCCAGGAGGCCATCCTTCTGGAAGATGCAGAAAGAGTTCATGAAAGCCAATGCTTGGAGATCTTAAAGGAGTTGGTGGGGTTCCCTCGGGCATCTCCTAAATTGGGAATAATATGTAAACCATCAAAAATAGGCAAGGAAGTGCTTTATTGAGATGGCCGGACCCCCTTTCTCACTCTTTATCATCATCTTGTCTCTTGTCTGTACGAGTGACTAGTGTAGAGGATCCTATATTATTTATCTTGAATTGCATGTTAACCTTGGATATTTATATTTCTGGTTCCTTAGTGACTAGTGTAGAGGACCCTATATTTATCTATCTGAATTGCATGTTAGACTTGGATATTCTATAATTCTGGTTCCTCATCCAGATTTTTTAATGTTGGTTCTTGGTTTTCGACTAACATTATTTGATCGTCAATTAATTGAATATACTCCTTTGCTCATCTTTTCTATGCTAAGAGAGCTAGTTTGTGTATGCATTTACTCCCTATTTTAAGTTAATAATTTGTTGATTTGCATTTAATTTGAGCAAGATAATCACTTGATTAATTTCAGGTGGTGACTGATTCAATGAAGCACAACTCTTAATTACCTATACCATATATATACACACACACACACACATTAAATAAAGGTAAAAATTGGCAAAAGTAATGGTAACTGTCGTGTTAAGTACACTTCATTAATCGATCTTTGACAATTGCCTTAACAACAATTAAACCGGTCTTCTAATTTAAGGTTTATCCTGTGTAATATACTGGGTTTGTTGCTGTTCTAATTTTAGGTTTATGGTACGCATTGTCATTGTGAGATAAGCTGCAGAAGCGGAAGTGGATGCATTCCACTGTATATTGTTCCTTTCTTCCTCACTAGCAGCAACAACTTCCTCCTTGAACCTCTTCCAATCGTTAGCACAATATCGGAGCAGGTAGCTGTAGTGTTTTCCAATGGCAGTTTTGTTGTGTAAGTATGGGATCTTGTTATGTGTTCGTTCAATTTCGATAAAACAAAGAGAATTTGAAGGATTTCCATTCATACTGTTGAGACACTCGGTGCAAATTTTTTGAAGGATTGCATTTTTTCGTGTAGAATATCCCGAGCTGATGTATGCAGAAAGAACTGATGTAAATAACGAGATATTTACAGTTGTACAATATTTTTGAAGGCAGAGGCTAGATACAATTTTTTTTTTTAATTATGAGGAGATTGTGCTTTTAATTCCTGCTTTTTATTAACTATTATAGTTTTTCTTCTTCTATTTGTAGCAACCACAGTGAATGCTACAAACTACTTGCCTTGTGACTGCTTTATCCCTTCACTGTTTATTTATATATTTCATAACCATCGACATTGTGATGGCAAAATGAAAATCCAAATTGGATACACCATTTTTGGACTGAGTTTAATAGTTCTGATAAGGATCATAGTATCACCGACACAATTAACCATTCAATTACATGCTTCAAGGTACATAATATATATATATTCAGAAATAAAACAGGGTGAAATACCACCTTTATGTGCATTCAGAAATAAAACAGGGTGAAATACCACCGTAGCTATAAGAGGCACTCATTAAAGGGTGATGTAGACAGTGAAGTGACTATTGTTTCTACTCCATCTGTTGTATGTTAATCTACATGAGGAAGAGTCTCAACAGTGGCATATCCTTTAGCATTCTCATACTTGCCAGTCCCTCCAATGATGGCAATGTGAGAAATAGGTGAGGCTGTCCTGTGAACTCCAAAATGTGCTGTCGAGGCTCAAGTGTGGCTGGTGCCATTCGAAGATCTCATGGAGTAAAATCCTTGTGCCTTGCAAAGAACAGATGATCCCAGTTCATGCACCTCAGTTATTTCATTGTCAACAACAGATTGAGCCAAAGGTGAGCTGGCGAAGGGACAAGCCAGCAGGAAGCCGTCCAGCTGTTACAAAAGGTTGGTTGTTAGTTTCCACCCATTGATTACGTTGTTGTTGCCACATTCTTTTGTAGGACAGTGTTAGCTTGTTGCTAATTGAGGCCTAAAAAGAGTGGATTATTTAACATGGCACTACAATAGCTTATTGATGAAATGACTATGGAAATATAGCAAGGGAAGAGAATGCACTTTGGCGGAAAGTAGTGTGTTTCAGTGATGGAGGTAGCTACTGGCACTGCACCGACGAACCTGATTCAGCCAGTAAATCTGCTGGAGGAGCCATGTGGAAGCAGGGACGGAGGGATCAGCAACAGGTGCTACGTTGGTATCAGAAGTAGTGACAGTAGTTGGTAACTGGTTACTTGGAAATGTGGCAATTGGTGCCACCACAGTAGCCACAACAGGATCAACCATTCGTGATGGATTAGACACCGGGCGTACATCATCAAGGATTCTTGCTGAGTTGACACAGCCAAAGCTGAGGGCTAGGAGCAAAATGCAGAAGGTCGCTTGGAGTGTGTTAGAGGTGAGTTGGGAAAGTTTAGCCATCTATTTTCTTGTGAAAAATTCTTGGATGATAGATGAGAACAAACAAATGAAGAGTTTAGTAGATGCTTGATTGATGAGGAAAGAGTGAAGGCTTCAATGATTAGTTTGACTATGAGGCGTTTTCTATAAGGAGTGATCGATACCCTTATATATATCTTTTGTTGCAAAACACCAAATCTGAAACTTCATTGTCAAAAGAGCAAGTGGTAATATATGATATTGATAAAGTAAGGTAGATTATTCAATCTCAAAAAAGGTAAGGAAGATTATTTGGACGCAAATCAAGGTAAAATGGCTAACATTTAATACTCTTTTTTCTTTGAATGAGCTTGACGGAAACTTTTAGGTGAAAGTCATGATTCTTGTGAACTTAATGATTCTTTACTTGTTGTCAATCAAAAGGAATGATACGAGCATGCACTAGTTGATTCTATTTGTGAAAATCATGTTGGAAAAAAATGGTGAATCTAAATAAGTCCCTCTGGCAATGAAATTATGCATGAATTGTAAGGTTGGAGAGTCACTTTCTGATTAAATGTGATGTTATTGATCATGGCTTTTCCTTGATACTAATCAAGCATTTGGGTAAAAATTAAACAGGTGCTTTCCAAGAGTAGCTTGTGACAAACTGGGACACAGATTCCACAGAAATTAAATCCTTTCTTCCCGTAGACATTTCCACAAACACTTGATGGCCATTACAGAAGCAGCAACCAAACAACAGGAGAGTAAATATGGCAGCTTGTTCTAGCAAAGGAGGGTGCCCAAGTGATTATGCACTATATAGCACTTTCAATTTTGGTAGTGTCGTTGATCTTCTATGTTTTCAGCTAAATCCACCAGCCTCTAAGTTTATAAGGCTGCATATACTAAAAATATTTGCTTCTCACTAAATAGATGTAATCAATATATTGTGGTGTAGTTTATCTCCTGTTTTGCTCCCTTTAAATAGATTTTAGCTTTAATTGTTACCTTGCTTTATCTGATTGATGAAGATGGAATCTTTGACAAACTGAAGGTATTTTTTTGTTTTTTATATTTCTGCTGAATTCAAGAAAACATCGGATCTTGCTGGAAACTTTTTCCCCTTAATATGAGTTATAACCAGTGGCAGAGCTAGGAATTGAAGAAGGGGATTGAAAAAAATAAGAATGTTACACTTCTGCTCTGAACATATAACCTAAAACAATTTTCTAACCCTTTTTGCCATTTCACTATAATTTTTCCTTATGCTAGATTCAACAATTTATTATGTATAAGCAAAAAATTCATATTTGCCCTATTTGCATTGTATAATTTCCCGACGAAGGGGATGAAATTGAACTCCCTTGTGCCCCTTAGTTTCGCCCCTAGTTATAACTAGCGGCAGTGCTAGGTGGAGGCAAGGGGGTTCAATTGATTCCTTTGTGCCGGAAATTATATTGTGCGATATGGGCAAAAACGATTTTTTGGTTATATATAACTCCTTGACATAAGGAAAGATCCTAATTTAGTGATAAAAGGAGATTCAAAAGTTGCTTTGGATTATAGGTTCAAATCTTAGATGTGATTCTAGTCTTTTTTTGAATCCTCTTATGTGAACTCCTTGCTCCTCTAATGGTTACAACGAGTCTGGTTGAGATGGAAGTGATCAAGCTCGGGAATATGAACCTAGCTTCCTTTTCTTTCGATCATTTGACAGAGCAGGATGAAGAAGGTGCATTTTATGATTTTTGTGTGTTTACAACATCTATTGCTTCTGACTAGATGGATAAAATGGAGGTGGGAGGAAAATACATAAGTAGAGCTAGCTTCCACCTGTCTTCTTCCCACTTTGAGTATGCCAATGGGGCAAGGCGGGGGAAGTCTTAGCAGGACGGGGCAGGATGGGCGTTAAAAATTATGAACTTTAAGGTTTTTAACTTAAGTTTTTCCTGATTTGATTCCTTTTAAAGTTTCCAATTCTTTTGGTTTATGCTAATAGTGGATGTAAAACTAGCATCTTTAATAAATTGATATTTTGCTTATCTCCCTTAAATGATAAAGAAAATGTGTTATAGAAAAATGATATTATTGAATGGTGATACATCAAAAGGAATTTTACGTAATAAAAGAATTACAACAACATCATACCCCGTGTATTCCCTCAGTGTGGGGTCTGGGCTAGTAAAAGAATTAGTAATGATAAAAAAAAAACAACAAAAACTAATGAAAGAAGAAAGCTTAATATGGCATAGTAGAATATAACATAATGGGATGGGGTAAGGTGAGATGTGTCTGGTGAAATCATACCTATCCCTTCCCATCGACATCCCTAACATTTTTTCTTCTTAAACTTGCTCCTATTTGCAAGGACGAAGCTGCCAAAATTTTGTTGTCTTGTCCCTTTCTTTACTTAATAGGGTGGTATGGGTTCAAAGACTTATAGCATATCCAGAGGCATGATGGTGATAGAGGGTAGGATGTAAGCGAGGGAGAGAGCAAAATAATAGGAATGTGCTCCATCTTTTGAAAACTGTAAAGGGTGATACAAGAGGAGGCTTGGTAGGTTGGGAGTGTCTTACGGTTTTGTAGTTCATTCCGTTGGTTATTTTCCCTCATGCTTAATGCTTTTTGGCTTAGTGCTTTTCGCCGACCTCAACTTGTTTGGGACCGAGGCGTAGTGGTAATAGTTGTTGTTGTTGTTATGCTTTTTGCATGTCTAGGTGTGTGATTGTGTTATACTATTAACATTTAACGCAACTTTTAATATACATGTGTGCCATTACAATAATGAGATGCTCACTGAATGCTTGTCGTTTATTTATTCATCAAGTAAAGCCAATTTCAATTTTTCTTGTGCTGGAGCTTTTTATGATTAATTTTCCCTGTTATTGTTTAAAGTTTCATTAGTATGTATATCCATTCAATGCTTTAGCTTTTACTTCCTTTCAGGTTACATAAGATGTTGACATTAACCACTTGAGTTTCCTCACTTTTCCTGAAAGCGACATTATCTTACCTGATTCACAAGATTCCTAGGCCTAAAGACAGTAGCTTTTGGCTTGTGGCAATTCAAGTTATTGCGAAGCTTCAATCTTTTGTTGTCCACTGTGGTAGTTACTATTTCCTTTCCCTTATAGGTGTTATACTTCAGACTCCAGTTTAATATCCCAAAACATTAAGAAGTTGTTTGGTTTGATGTATTAGCTCAAATAGTCATGGTATAAAAACTTGCATTGTTTTATCCATTGTTTGGTTACTAATTTCAGTCTCAACGTATCCAATCCATGTATAACTTATACACCAATTCATGTTTAACAATACCATGATTACGGTATACATTGATAAAGCATTCAAAATGTCAAAACTACCCTTGTGGATCTCCTCAAACCCTTTTCTAAACCCTTATTCAGTTTTAAACCAAACACAAGTTTAAGTTATACACTGTATATCCAATTTATAATACAATGAACCAAGTGCCCGATAAAAAATTATCTTTACATTACAATCACCTGCATTATTAATCCATGTATCACAATCCCAGTAACTTGTGTCTGAACCAAACAACCCTAAGGGGACTAGATTTTAATTTTCCATGTAATATTCATATTGGCTTCTGCAGATCTTCCTCAATTTTCCGAAGTTCAGAAAGAGGCATTGGTGGAGGTCTTGCTATCTATGGGCAGGTTATTTACTCTTCAATCCATAAACCGAATATGAATTGGTCTTCAAACTTCTTGCTTTTGCCTTTATCTGGTGTTTACTTGATTGTTTATTCTACAATATATACAGTCTTCCTCGCTTCCAGAATGGAGTGAAGGTCCATTTTATTTTGTTTGCTGTTGAGCTGCCATATTACACAAGTGTTCCAACTCTATTATATATTTGTGAAGTAAGTTTAATCTCTTTAAGAAATCATCAGAAACTTTTGTTCTTTCTGATTGATGAGATGATTATGTAACAATTAGCCTGATCAATATTTAATTGAGAAGCTGTAGAATTATGCAGCCTCCTCACCCCAACACCCATTGCCTGGAAGAAAGTAATGGAATAGAAAACACCTGCAGATCTCCAGAGGAAAATAAAATATTGGACTGTCTTTGAATAGTACACCGACCTTGAGATAAGGTATAACTAAAACTGCCTGGTCGCTTGACCCTCCTAATGATGTGTGGCAGCTGAAATAAAAAGAAAAAACTCATCTACTGTGTCTTTTCTGTACTTCTCTTTCTTTGCCTCCTTCTCTCTCTCTCTCTCTCTCTCTCTCTCTCTCTCTTACTCTCTCTCTCCTTTCTACTTTTTTATCTTAGGAGATATTGAAAAACTAGCATTCAGAGGGTCTTTTTCTTTGTGCTATTATTGATGCAGGTCACATTGAAAACCTCATTTTCTTGTTTTGTATGATGTTTCTGGAGACGTCTGCCAACAATTAAATCCTATATTTTTCTTTCACTGATTCTCTTGGCCTGGATAGCTGGTGTTGCCTGTAAGAATCTTCAACTTGAGTTTTATAAACAAGTATCCTTTTGAGTTTCGTCTTGAAATATTAATATTTTGTTTAAAGATAATGAAAAATGAAAACATATGGGAAGTATGCCTTGTAAACCTACACTTTTTCAGTTGTAATACTTTAAGCATTTTAATTTTGTGTTTTACTATTTGGTTAGTCTATCTTTCAGTTGAGTCATGGCCAAACTTTGTGCAAGTGTATGAACAAATTATTTGACTTTCATTACCAAGTGAGAACTTACTAATTTTAACTCAATCTACAATAACGACAAACCCAGTACGTGGGGTATGGGGAGGATAGTGTCAACGCAGACTTTAGAGAGGCTGTTTCCGTTAGACCCTTGGCTCAATGATGTTAACTCAATCTAAATTTGGATAATTGGCTTTTATAATTGTTAGAAAATTGCAGAACGATTTTGATTTTCAATTGTTGATTGTTTTTCTTCTTCTCTTTTCAAAATGTCTCCTTGGCATGTGAATTAATTTATGTTACTTTCATTTGCAGTAATCCCCACTATTGATATTATAAGCTTTGCTACACATATTTATGTAAGAAAGCCTTTGTGAGATTAATACAAGGTTTGTTTGATGTAGTTATTTATATAATAAAGCCTCTAAATTACCTATGCCACATGGGGACTGCGTGGATCATATCTGTTATTGTCTTCATGCATTATATGTTTTAGCTTTGATTTCTTTTACTGGGGCATTGCATCGTGTGGAATTCAGATTTCATGAACTCAAAGAGCTTTGGAGATGAATTCTTGTCTCTGCAGCTTCCATTATTTTGTCCATTTTCTTTGTTTTGCCTCTTTTGTGGCATGTTTCCATTATGTTACTTCATCTGTGTGCTCAGCTAGGTGGAACAACTGATTAAGGTATAAAAGTTAAAAAGACTTGAGTAGTCTCGAATACCCATTTTTTCCCTCTATGGTCCAAGCGTCTAAACATAGTTCTCACATATCGGAAGCACAGGCAGTCCGTCATAATGCTGTGTGAAATATTTGTAATTTCTGTCAAGGAAAAATAACTGGAGAAAAGTTTTAGGTAAAGTGACTAACGTGATGCCATCAATGGGCTTGACTGTCATGACTGAGACACCAATCTAAAGTACTTTTTCAAGTGCTCCTCTCTATTTGGATAATAGAAAACGTACATATCCAATTTGTTACAAATAAAATCCTGTTTGTAATGGGTTGCTTATGTTATGAATGAGGTTCATGAGGATATATCATGGCTAGAAATTGCCTCTAGATTTTTGTTATTGGTTATGGTACAAATTTCCTGATCTTGTGCTATTTTGGTAATATGTGGGCATCAGAATCTTTTTGCTGATTGCCTACAGTATTTCTCTCGTTATTTCAACAGACAAGTCTCCTTGTGCTGGCATTCTTCTCTTTCTCGATTTCTCAACCTCTCGTATCACTTATGAGCTTGAGGAAGAAGGATCATAAGGAGTACACAACAATGAGTTAGGCATCAGGCATACATGATAGCGGGATTCTATTACAGAGGGAACTGGTGAGCATTTTATATCCCAACCAACCTTTTGATAAGCTCCTGCTGAACTGAAGGTTCCGGCAGTCCTTCATGACATCTGAGGACAGGTTTTATTCTTTCTCCTTTTCTAAAAAAATACCATATGATTTAGAACTGCGATGACAAAACATGGGGGCTCATATCTTTCCAACGTGATGGAATTGCATATGTTAAGCAGTGAACAGGAAGAGTAGGGAGCCTAAAATCCATATACCAATAGATTGAACAGAAGAGACATGATATCTGTATGCTGGACTTCAGCAGGAAGGTCACGCGCTCGAGCTGTGGAAACAACCTCTTGCAGATAAGGCTGTGTATAATGTATATTAGACCCTTGTGGTCGGGCCCCTCTCTAGACTTCGCGCATAGCAGGAGCTTAATGCACCGGGCTGCCCTTTTATGCTCCAGCAGCCCGATTCTTCCGTTCCTAATGATACGAGCTAACGTTCCGGACAAAATTTTGCTGTGATGGATTAGAACATCCAGGGTGTATTTTACCATACTTTATATAAATCAATATGAAATACCTTTGATATCCATCACTGCTTTGTGAAAAATCGAAAATTATGATGGCGTCTATGCTGACAGCCCTAACCAGGAAAATGTAACTTACGGAAATGAATTAAGTATATTGCAGATCAATCATGCACCCAAGCGTGTGACCTAGTGATCATGAAGTTGGTGAAAACCATGAGACCAGCGTCCAGCTGAGATAATGCTCAGAGGTTTCTGACAAATTGCCTTACAGAGATGTTGCATGTTGGAATACAGTGAATCAAGCTGTTATCAATGTGGGAACTTGCCAAAGTACTTGTGCTGATGGGAGATTAGGAAGTAGCAAGTACCCTGCGGAATTAGTCGAGACGAGCACAAGCTGGCCCGGATATTACGGTTATAAAAAAAATAACTGTAGGAAAATATTTTAAATTATTGGGTTGAAGGAATGATGTTTGTTCTTAACCTTGATTTCCACCTTTATTCTTATTCCGTGATTTTATGTTCACAGTTCCTGGAGTTATCTTGTCGAATAAATTCTGATGCTTTCTTTGGAAAGTCCATTTAAATTTTGCTTGCCGACTTTAGTAGTTGTTTTACTAAACTAATATGAATTAGTTCTTTTAACAGAAGGATTTGAAGTTTGAAGAAATTCGTCCTCGAAAAGTGCAACTGAAGCACCAAAGGAACCTCTTTTCTGTTTTGTTGGTGTAGTTATTTAAAGAAGTTCCGTTTGTACATGTTACAATCCTATTTTCTCTTTTGATAGGAGTTGACAAATGCGACGAATAGAGTACAATTTTAGAACTTAGAACTATATTTGTGATATTCGGCTGCTTTTGTTCTCTGCAATTAATTATTAAATTTTATATGAATATTGATTATTTTGTATGTTTTTGGGTGTGTATTTGTATATATAGATATAGTGAGTTTTATATCTTTCCAATAATAACATACAATGATAAAGTTTTTTGGTTGTTTAAAGTTAACAAACAATTAGCAAAGTAAAACTGAAAGCACTTTTAACAATCTAAAGTTTGTAACGACCGGAATGACATTTAGTAACTAAAAGTATTTTAACGATTGGATTGAAATCTGGTCATACGGCTAGGCTATTAGTGATCGCTGATGACTTCAATTGTTTCGGCTGTTATTAGCTAATTTTCCTTGGTTCAAGTCTTTTCTTGTAATGATGCCTATGGTGTTCAAATGTGCCCAATTAATTATGGAAGAATTTGTGTACGGGTAAAATGGGGATAATATTACCCCCGATTCCCAATAAAGAAACGAGAGGGAAGCATGATCTGATGCAACCTCGAGCGAAGCCGAAGGATCCCTCTTTTCGGAGCCCGGGGGGATGAACGGTGCATCCGGGATTGGGCACGGCTAAACAACGGATCCGGACCAAGTAAATTTTTGAGACCCAAGGAAAAAGAGAAACGGTTGAGCATGACGAGCAGGGAGCCGTAATACTCGTCCTCAACCGGAAATTACAGCACAAATCCCGTCCGATATCAACTGCAGATCGACATTTACCGAAAAAGGTTTTTTTTACCTTATTTTGACTTGTAGTAGGATTGAAATTTCCCTACTATTTAAAGGGGAGAACTTTTTTAATTTTAAACCACTGTTGACACGCATATCAAAGCAATACAAGTTCAATTGTGTCTTCTAGCTATTATTCAAAGTGTTCTTCAGTTATTCTCTTTTTTAATTGCAACGGAGCTCATATCACGGGCTCGATCAGAGCTAGTTTTCAGTGTTCAACTTAAAACCAGGCTTGATTGTTCCATCGCGATTGGTTTGATCGTTTATTCTTTCTTTAATTTAAGAGGCCAACGACAAGAAGGTGGAAGCTTATAATTCCAAGGTCGATCAGATCCCAGAGCGCCTCTGATATTGAAGAGGCCGGATTCTAAAAAATTTATTCAGTAGCCTTTCCACCGAGTGCAGCGCCGAAGCCAATCCTGAAGCGATTCCGAATGCCCGACATTCCCAAGTATAATGGGACCACAAATCCAAAAGAGCATGTAACCTCCTATACATGCGCAATCAAGGGTAATGACCTGGAAGACGACGAGATCAAACCAGTGTTGTTGAAGAAATTTGGGAAAACCTTGTCCAAAAGAGCAATGATATGGTATCACAACTTGCCTCTGAATTTTATTGATTCTTTTGCTATGCCCGCGTAAAGGCCCATGCCGGCGCCATCAAGGTCGAGACGAGGTAGTCAGACCTTTTCAAAGTCAATCAAAGAGATAACTAGATACTTAGGGAATTCGTGTCGAGGTTCTAGATGGAACACATGGACCTACCCATGGTCGTGGATGATTGGGATGTTCAGGCGTTTACTCAAGGGCTCAACCCCCGAAGTTCTGTGGCTTCTCAACAATTGAAGCAAAACTTGGTGGAGTACCCGACGGTCACTGGGGGACCCTCTCGGGGTCTGTTTACCCCAACAGAGCGAATAATAGATCTAAGAGAATCATTGACCAGGAGCCAAGGCCAGAGTACAGTTTCAACCTGGATGCTGCAAGTATAGTGTCGGCTATAAGGCACATCAAAGAGACCAAGTGGCCTAGACCATTGTAGTTCGATCCCTCCCAGATGGACCATAACTTGGTGTGTAAGTATCACGGTACTCATGGTTGTATGACCGAAGATTTTCGACAGTTAAGGGAAGAAGTAGCTCGATTATTCAACAATGGGCACCTTCGAGAATTCCTAAGCTAACGGGTCAAAAATTATTTCAGAAATAGGAACGCCAACAAACAGGCCGAATAAGAGGAGCCCCAACACATGATCAACATGATCATTGGGGGAGCGGATGTTCCCCAAGGGCCAATGATAAAACGCACAAAAGTTTCTATCACAAGGGAAAAATGCACCCCGGATTATGTCTCGGAAGGGGCCATCTCGTTCAGCGATGAACACGCCGAGGGAATCATCCACCCTCACAACGATGCACTAGTAATATCCATACATATCAATAGATCTCGACTTAAACGTGTGTTGATTGTTCCAGGTAGCCTGGTCAACATCACCCGATGGAGGGTCGTAGAACAACTGGGATTGTTAGACCAAATCGTAGCAGCGGTCCGGGTATTAAACTGATTCAACACAGCGTGCGAGACGACGAAGGGTGAAATAAATTTACCGGTAAACACTGCCGGGACCACCCAGGAAACAAAGTTCTATATAATCAAGGGGGATATGAGGTACAATGCCTTGTTCGGAAGGCCATGGGTTCACAACATGAGAGCGGTGCCTTCAACCTTACATCGAGCGTTGAAATTTCCCACTCCAGGAGGAGTCAAAACAGTCTACGTAGAACAGCCGGCTGCAAAGGAGATGTTCACTATCGATGAAGTAATCCCAGTTTTCGCGGTTTCGACATCAAAAAGCAGGGAACTAGCTGAAGAAAAGGAAACCAAATAGCTATCAATGATACCGACCTCAACCGCACCGGAAACATAGGAGGAGCACATAGCGGACGGAGAGGATGATTATGGCATCCCAAGATCTTTTATAGCACCCGATGACACCAATGCCACTAAGTCAACAATCGAGGAATTGGAGTAGGTTATACTGATCGAGTACCTACCGGATCAAAAGTTATACCTAGGCACAAGATTAACTCCCGAGCTCAGGAAAAAACTTATTGATTTTCTTAAAGCTAATGCTGATTGTTTTGCCTGGTTCCATTTATATATGACAGGGATCCCACCGGAGGTAACAACTCACAAATTGAGCCTGGATCCAAAGTTTCACCCAGTAAGACAAAAAAGAAAAGGCCGCAGTCCGAGATCAAACACGCGTTCATCAAAGACGAGGTATCTAAACTTTTGAAAATAGGTTCCATCCGGGAAGTTAAATACCCAGATTGGTTAGCTAACGTAGTAGTCGTACCTAAACAAGGAAACAAGCTTATAATGTGTAGATTATAAGGTTCTAAACAAGGCGTGCCCAAAAGATTTATTCCCTTTGCCTAACATCAATCGAATGATCGGCGCGATGGCCAGACACGAGATACTGAGTTTCCTCGACGCTTAGTCCTGGTACAACAAAATTCAAATGGACCAGGGTGATCGAGAAAAGACTTCTTTCATAACCAAATTCGGAACCTACTATTATAACGTGATGCCGTTTGGGTTAAAGAATGCCGGTGCCACGTATCAACGCCTAGTTAACCGGATGTTCGAAGAACAAATAGGGAAATCAATGGAGGTTTATATTGACGATATGTTGGTTAAGTCCCTGCAATTAGAGGACCATTTGAAACATTTGCAGGAAACCTTCGACATATTGAGGAAGTACAACATAAAGCTAAATCCAAAGAAGTGTGCTTTCGGGGTTAACTCGGGAAAGTTCCTCAGGTTCATGGTATCTAACCGGGGAATAGAGATCAACCTGAACAAAATAAAAGCTATAGAAGATATCACCGTAGTTGACAACGTTAAGGCAGTACAAAGACTGATCGAGCGGATAGCCACGTTGGGCCGGTTTATTTTGAGATTGTCAGATAAGAGCCACCGGTTTTTCTTATTATTGAAAAAGAAGAACAAATTCTCTTGGACCCCGGAGTGCCAGCGAGCTTCAGAAGAACTCAAGAGATACCTATCAAGCCCTCCCTTGCTGCTTACTCCGAAGGCGGACAAATTTCTATATCTCTACTTGGTAGTTTTCGAGGTGGCGGTAAGTGGTGTCCTGGTCCGGGTAGAAGAGGGTGCGCAATTTCCTATTTATTATGTTAGTAGAGCACTATGCGACGCCAAAAAGGTATCCACACTCAGAAAAATTAGTGCTCACCTTATTAAGCATATCTAAGAAATTTAAACCATACTTTCTATGTCACCCTATATGTTTCGTTACCTCGTACCCGCTGAGGAACGTTATGCACAACCCGAGCTCTCAGGCCGATTGTCCAAATAGTCCATAGTAATTAGCGGGTATGATATCGAGTACAAATCCCAAACCGCCATAAAATCTCAAATTTTGGTAGATTTCATGGCCGACTTTTCGTGGCCTTGATCCTCGAGTTTGAGAAGGAATTACTACTCACTTCGGGGACTAGCTCGAGGATCTAGACCCTATTCACGGACAGTGCTTCCATCGCAAAGGGGTCCGGGCTAGGCATCATACTAAAACAACATACGGGTAACGTAATAAGGAAGTCTATTAGAACTATAAATTGACTAACAACGAAGCCGAATATGAGGCTATGATTACAGGTCTAGAACTGGCTAAGAGCCTGAGGGCCGAGGTGATCGAGGCCAAATGTGACTCCCTCCTTGCCGTCAACCAAGTTAACGAGCATTTGAATTAAAAGGGGAACAAATGTTGAGATACTCGGATAAGTTGCAGGTAACATTACACTAATTCAAGGAATGGACTTTACAACACATACCTCGGGATCAAAATAACAAGGCCGATGCATTGGCGAATTTAGGGTCGTTAGTCGAGTTCGATGAATTCCACTCTGGAGCAGTAGTACAGTTGATGAAATCGGTGGTAGAAGAAGGACACACCGAGGTGAA